AAATGGGCAGGCGAGGAGTTGCCTGTGGCCAGATGTCTTCAGCAGGACCTTGCGCTGGGCATCCAGCACGTTGGCAGCGATGGGCGGAGCAGGATCGCTGAGAAGAACATCTTGCTCACTCTCACTGTGTTCGCCCGCTGCATCGTGTGTTTCACTCTCACTGACTTCGCCAAGTGGAGCTGAGTTTGCATGCTCACTGTGTTCGACAGGATGTGAAATGGCAGCGGGCAAAATGGCAGTGGCAGGGGGTGAAGCCGAGGGCGGAGAGGGATCGGAATGGGTTTGCTGTGTATCCGATGGATCTGGCAGCACCATTTGAGCGGGTGTAGGTGATTGCACCAATGGCTCAGGCGTGGCACTGCCGTTTGTGTCACCGTCACCATCATGCGCGGGAGGGGCGATAGGGGTGGGCGCGCGGAGTGCGGTGGAGCGAGGAGGGGAGTCGCTTTCGTCCGAAGACATGGTCAAAAAATCCGATGGTGTGTTAGGAATCGAATGATGTGTCTGTCTCGCGGACTCGGGCGAGGGTTGCTGCTCCCCGCTGCCATTTGGCTCAGAGGGCACCGATGCTGACAAATCCTCGGTCACAGGGGCCAAAGATGTGGCAGTGGCGGCGGCAGGCATTGCCGCAGCAACTTGAGCAAAGGAGCGAGGGCTGGATGGCGTGCGAGGGGTGCGGGGAGAAGAATTGGAAGTGTTTCCAAGAATGGGAAGTTGCTCCCCGCCGCCGTTTGACGTCCTGGTCACTGGCTCGGCCGCGGGCACGACGGCACGTGCCGAAGACTCGGTCGCACCGGCAGCGGGGGACGTCGAGGGCACATGAGACGAGGCACGGGCGGTAGGGGCAGAGTGGCGGGCGCGAGGGCGAAGCGGGGTGGTCATAGGGTCAGGGAAAACATGGTTACGGTCGTGGCGAGCGCTGCCATGTTTCGTGTGTTTCGCAGAACGATGAGTTTGGGAAGGCGAGGTGGTGGTGTTGCTTGGAGGTGACTCGGCACTCGGGCGTTTAGCACCGCGGACCTGGGTCCAAGAATCCTCGCTGCCGGACTCAGTGGCCATGTCCGCGGGGCAAGCAAGCGAGCAAGCGAGCGGACACGGTGGGAGCGAGGGCGCCGCCAAAACGCGGGCCGCAAGGAGCGGGGTTGCAGATTTTGTCTGACAACGTGGTTCACGCCAAGATGTCAGAAAAAAAAAAAAGCAAGGACGATCTGGCTGAGAGCTTTGCTCGCCTGATTCGCGACTCGCCCATCCCCATTCGCATTGATGAAGCCGACATGCAGAAGCGCACCATCATCCAGAGCGACAATGACGGGCCCTACCACTCCTTGGCCTTTCGCGAACAGCTGCGCCACTTCAACTGTGTTTGGCGCCACTCGCCGCCTTACACTCCCGAAATGAACGGCGCCATCGAAACCGTCTTCCGCGAACTCCGAGATACCATGGCCCTGCTCCTTCATGACTCGGGCCGTGACCCATCATTTTGGGCCCTTGCTGCCAAGCACGCCGAGTACCTCATCAACATCCGCCCCAAGGAACACCTCAATGGCTATTGTGCCTATGAGCTCCTCACCGGCATCAAGCCCCACGACATCCGCGACTTGCACCCCTTTGGCGCCGACGCTTTTGCCTTTGACCCGCTGCGCCGTGGTGGCAAGCTCGGTCCCAAGGCCCGCCACGGTATTTATGTGGGCTTTTCGCCGACTTCACTCTCTCACAAGGTCTACTGCCCTGACACCAACACTATCATCGAGACCATCCACGTCAAAGTTGTTCCCCGTGCTCG